TGGGGCCTCAGCGCCCTATGGAGCATCACCTACTTTGGCTCCCCGAGGCCCTGCTCTGCGCTGAGCTGGTGCAAGTATGGGAGAAGGGATGGTGCCCAAGAGGCCTTCAAGGAAACACAGCCTCCCATGGCATCAGGGAGCTTATTTGATGAAGGGACCAAAAACCATGTCCCCTTGTCCCATTCCAGCAGTTGGCCTGACTCTGGCCATAGCTGTCATTGTGGTCAGCCCTTAAAACACGGTGGCTGTGACACTGCAGCAAGGTGCTGTGCATGGTTACCTGCAGGCACTTGGGGCCATGTTTCCGTGCTGACCTTTCCACTCCCTACCTGGAGGCAGAAGGTTGCACACTGAGGACTTTGCCTCCTTTGGTTGTGACTGCCAGCGCTGTGCCTCAGCTCTGTGAGCATTAGCAGCAAAGAGTGAGCTAGCAGAGAAAGGAGCTGGGCTGATAACCTCAAATCAGCAATATCTGTTCCAAGTCTCAATGCCAGCAGCTTGTCCATGCAACTGCTTCCACTGTTCCTGCTGCCAGAGAAGATGAGGCAGGTAGTAGTGGGAATCTTAATGTGAGTGCAAGCCAAAGCCGCCCCCTCTTGCTCCTTTTCTAGCAAGAGTTCATGTTTGTTGCATAAACAGAAAAACTAAAGGACAATTTGTCAAGTGTTGGCTCTGCTTTCTCACTTCCTGCTGCTCCAGAGCTCTCCATACCAAGAATTTTTAAAACAAGGCTTTGAAACTGCTTTTCAAAGTACTTATTTTAAAGCTGGCATTCACCCTCTAAAAAGTGTATTCTGTAGTGCCATGTGTATTTACCTAAACATTTCTGCTTTTCCATGTTCTCTTTACAGCCATCTGCCTGTCTGGATGCACTGAACAGAATGGATATTGCAACAAGCCTGGAGAATGCATGTGAGTAGATAGCAATCGCGATCTGAACTTCAGTTAAAACGTCCCCTTTTAATAGAAACTTAAACTCTTTTCCATGTCATTAATGCTTTAATTTGGCTTTTCTTTTAGCTGTCGCCCCGGTTGGCAAGGCCGCTACTGTGATGAATGCATTCCCCACATAGGTTGCCGCCACGGGACGTGTAAAACACAGTGGCAGTGCATATGTGACGAAGGATGGGGTGGCCTCTTCTGTGATCAAGGTTAGTTCTGATGGTTGTGCTTATGGCTCAAGAGTGGGTACTCCTCAGTGCTGGACTAAGGCATCTGACCCATTGGACGTAGAACTAAGTTTCCGCAAGGTGCATATTCATAGGCATCACTTCGTACCACCACTGTCCTAGACACCCATTCTTGTATTTGTAGTAATTTTGCTTGAAAACAAACAAACTTCTTTGGTAGCTGCAGTTTTTCTCTTGCAAAAAAGAAGTTTTTCTCTTGGGAGAAAAAACCCAAACAGCATGGATGGGTGTTAACAGGCAAGTTTTCTGTCTGCTCCAGTGAAGTTTAACATATTCCCTGTACAACTACAACAATTTACTAAACAGTTCCCAGCAGCAGTAAACACCATCATTTGGGCCTTCCTTATTTTGCATACAAGGAAGTTAACTCATGTGATAAGTCTGGAGCATGAGAGAAAAATCATGTAAGCAAGAATGAAAAGTACAGGTTCCATTTTAAGGTACACCAGACCACTTCCACCTATTCAACCCACTGAATCACTGAACTGTAGCCAGCTGAGCAGTCATGTCCTCAAGGCCATATATGCACTGCTGGCACTGAGATCATGAAGTGCTCAAAGCAAGCTAAGTGTTTTCAGGACAGTTAAAGGATTAAGATGGTGACATCTGAATTAAGCAGGAAAAGTAAAGTTACATGGTTCTTTCTCTGCTTGTAGTTATTTATTAACCAGTTGTATTCCAATTACTCTATGGTATTTATAGAGATAATAAAGATTTTCCACTTACGTCCTGTGAACTTGTGCACTTAACCTCTGTCTCAAATTTAAAGGGGAAAAAAGAGGACTGTCGAGCTTAGCAGAGCATTTAGACAGTTTAAACTACCAACATTCATAACAAGAGAGCATGGTAAATAATCAATAAAAGATTTCCAGTGTTTGTTTAAATCTCCAAGCCAAAACATCATTATTCGCTCCCTGCCTCCCCAGAACGTGCCTCAAAGATGGGGTTTATTGTTTTAGTATGTGACATGTTGTGCCCATAGTGCTGTGGCGTGTCTTTTGGGGAACACACACTTAGGAAGTACATTCTCCACTTGGCATGTAAATCCCATTGCAGCTAATAGGTTTATGCCCATAGAAAAAGGAGAGTATGCCAGACCAGTAAGAAAGTTATGTTTTTGCCAGGTCTTTCAAAATGCAGAGCTCATGTATTACAGTGACGGACATGGAGAAGTATCTAAAATTGATGATAATCTGAAACACTTGGTTATTATTGATAATAACCTGGATTATCATCCCCGGTATTCTTGTTGGTTGCAGAATGAATTACTTCATTGAAAATTCTTTTTTGTTGACTAAAGTGCTTTCATATGAATCATAGCATCACCGAATGGTTAGGGTTGGATGTCTCTTCCCAGCTGTTAAAAGACAATTTCTCCCACTATCTTTGCAGATCTGAACTACTGCACCCACCACAGACCGTGCAAAAACGGAGCAACCTGCATGAACACCGGCCAGGGCAGCTACACGTGTTCATGCAAACCTGGCTTCACCGGTGTTGACTGCGAACATGAGATCAGCGAGTGTGACAGCAATCCCTGTAGGAATGGCGGCAGTTGCACGGTGAGGGCATTTTAAATGTAAAGTCTTTGTGTGAAGCAAGCCCCAGTATACCTTACCCACAAATGGTTCTGTAACAACATAATGGGAATTCGATAGTGCACAGGTTCATTACTGACGCTCGCAACTACCATACTGAACCCTTCCCGAGAGGTGTCAGGGGAGGAAGTCTGTTACAGGAGGAGAAGTATCATCTAGATTAGAACTAGTCAACTGATCCTTAGGTTTCTGTGGCAGCCATTATGAGAACTTGGCAAGACCCAAAGTTGGTGAGGGAGCAGGTCTGTAAAAACTAAGCTTCTCAAACCAAGGTTCATACAGAAATGTGCCAAGTCTTTGTTTTAATAGCAAATAAAAGAAAACTTCTGTTTTCTGCTGTACTGTCAGACACTGTGAGGGCAATCAGCTGAAATGCTTTCTGTGAAAGAGGGCTCTGCATTTTCAGTTTCCTGCAGTCTAGTGTTTCAGTGTGTTTTTGGACCCAGTCAGTGATTGATTTTACCTGTTGATAAAGCCTGATCAATTATAGATAGCAAATATAATCTGATGCATGTTTAGATTAAAGCTACTGGTGCTGGACCCTAGCTCCCTACTCCCTAGGCCTTGGATATACATGACTTGGAAAGAAGAAACAGTTTTGTTGTGAGCTAAGCCATGGACTTACCTATGGCAAAGCAGCGTAAGTCCTTGTAAAGAAAAAAAGGGCTCTCGGGCTGAAGACAAATTGCCTGATCCCAGCTGTGTAGGTTGACACATGCCACATTCTGCTCTGGGAGACCTTGGGGATCCCAATAGACTGTAGTGGTGTTAGTAATGTTTTTGTCTAGCTCCTTGTAGGCTCCTACAACTGCATCTCATGTAGCTGCATACGGCCAATTCACAGCTCTATCCCTCACAGTCCAGCCTGCAGTTATTTACTCTCCAGCTGTCACCTTTGCCACATCACTGTGGCAGGGACTGAACAGCGCTCACTGATGACCAAAATTAAGCATGGAAGCAGCTATTATTTGGTGCCATCCAATAACAGTGTCCTAATGTTGTGTTTTGCAGGATATGGAGAACAGTTATCACTGCCTGTGCCCCCCTGGCTACTATGGCACTCACTGTGAGCACAGCGCTTTGACGTGTATAGATTCTCCATGCTTCAATGGTGGCACCTGCCTGGAGAAAGACCAAGGGGCCAGCTACACTTGTATTTGCCCTTTTGGCTTCACAGGGTCGAACTGTGAAAAAAAAGTGGACCGGTGCACAAGCAACCCATGTGCAAATGGTGAGTCTTTTTATCTCAAACTCGGTGTCTCTGCCTCGCTCGTGCTTTTCAGTGTGGAACTGATAGAAATCCAATCTGACCTCTACTCTTCCTCTAGTACATTAGTCGCTCTCCCTGCTGTATTCCACATCTACCCTAATTCTAGTCTCTTGCGGGGCCTTTCACTGGCATTTTCTGTGCAACAAAACAGTGCACAAGGCTTATGAGATGATGGCAGGATCAAGTAAATTAAATTAACTTTATTGTGTATTTAGAAGAGGAGTATTTTAAGGCACAGTGATACAATTAGGTAAACTAGAAGGAACTTTTAGATATGAGGTTGTTTTGTAAAATAACCTCCCTCTTCTTGAGATAGCACAAAATACTAATCAGGGAGAGGTTTAGGTTTCTGGGTGAAGTGCATTGCAGACTAATTTGTTTTTAATTGTACTTTTTTCTCCTCAGATGGCAATTGCTTTTACCTTGGTCAGATCCGTGTGTGTCGCTGTCGGCCTGGTTTCTCTGGCCAGAAATGTGAGATAAACATCAATGATTGTGCCAGAAACCCGTGTTCCAATGGGGGAACTTGTCATGACCTGATCAACGATTACACCTGCACGTGCTTGCCAGGCTACAGTGGCAGGAACTGTGACATCAAAACCAGAGATGAATGTGCTTCTGGACCATGTGAGAACGGAGGCACATGCTACAGCGGGCTTTATAGTGCCAACTTCGTCTGCTACTGTCCTTCTGGCTTCATGGGCAACCGTTGTGAATTGCCAGTTTATTCAGTGCCCGTTACACTTCCTCCTAAGCCAGTCCCCTGGATTGCTATATCCATGGGGGTGGGACTGGTGGCTTTGCTCATACTGTTCTGCATGATAGCAATGGTCATCAGACAGATGAGGATGCACCCAGAGCAGGACCTGGAGACAATGAACAACCTGTCTGACTTCCAGAAGGACAATCTCATTCCAGCTTCCCAGCTCAAAAACACCAACAAAAACAAAGACCTCGAAGTGGACTGTGGGCTGGAGAAATCAAACTACAAACCCAAGAATCATAAACTGGACTACAATCTGGTAAAAGACCTGACAAGTAGAGGGACACAGGAGGAGAAATATTACAAAAGTGAAAAGTGTTTAGGAGAAAAGTCTCCCCTCCGATTACACAGGTGAGAATGCAGCCTTCCTTCTAGTCTTTCTTGAGGCTTCTCATCTTCATACCAATTTAGAAACCGATAAGAAACTATGGGGAGGGAAAGAAACTCAAACAGATGATATACAAAACAAACCAGAGGAAACCCAGGAATCTTCATACTGGAGTATGTTTGTCACAGCCAAGTGTTATCCTTAGCTAAGTCAATTTGATTGAGCGTTTGTGTAGGGCACTGCTAGTATGGGTACTGAGAAGGGGAATGGGAGTGGCTAGGTCAGCGGTGAAAGTAGAGTCTTTCCTTCCTCAATAGATCTTGGAGGAACAGCAGTTAAAGCATACAGTGATTAAGAATAAGTATTTTGTTTATTAAGAAGGCAAAATGATCTGCTTACTGAGAAGGATAGAGTAAAAATTACTCTCTCAAAGAAAGAAAAGGGCAGGTATTCACTGGCTCATCAGTCTTCTGATGCATGCCAGTCTTGTCTGGGATCAGCTTGGGGCTGTTATACTGAGGGATCTGAGGTGCATGCTGTTAGGTTGGACACAGCAGAAGCATAGGAAGACAGTAGCTATTCCTTAGTTCCACTTTTGTAGTATAATGTCCTGCCACCACATAGAACATGTGAAACTTCATCCTCTGCACTTCCCTCCCACACCTTCATGGCTATCTCTTTACACCCCTCCATATTCATGATAGATTTTGAGAGTCAGACTAGTTGGAAGTCAACTCATGTTAATTTCTCTCCGCTCTGCCTTAGTGAAAAGCCGGAATGTAGGATATCAGCAATATGCTCTCCGAGGGATTCAATGTACCAGTCCGTCTTTGTGATAACAGAAGAAAGGAATGAGTGCATCATAGCCACAGAGGTAAGTAAGAACACAGGTAGACGGGCATAAATTGACAAAATAAAGGGGTAAATTATCCTTTAGAATTGCATATGAGAAAGTTACTCTATTTCCAGGGATCCTGGTGCTTCCCAGCATTCACCTCTCCTCTTCTGTGGCCCACACAGAACATACAGTGGAGAAAACAAAGAAATTAGCAGCCCTGATTCTATTAAAGCAGAGATTTTGAGCTTAGATATGTCAGCAGGAGATGCAAGCACAAAACATCAGCCCATAAAAATTCAGCATGTTATAGGATTACTTCCTCTTAAATAGGTAGCCAGAAGAAATAGAAATAGTAATCATTCATAGGCCCATTGATGTAAAACCATGTTTCTTCCCCATGACTGCAGTGGATAATCTGTGTTCTGTGGATTTGGGCAAAGCTATGTAGATTTCCAACAGAAGATGGAAGGTAGCTGAATGTGTAAGTAGATAGGCATAAAAGCCATGTAGGAAGTCTGTAATAAGGTAACTTCGGCCTCTTGGCATTTAAGCTGCAGCTATAAATTCTCTAACAGAAGTTAACACTTACTGATAAACACACCTAGACTTGATGTTACATTGAAAGTCAGAGGATAGATACACGAAAAAGGAAGAGCCCAGCACTGACCTTTAAAGACATTGAAAAGCAGCTATTGAAGAAGCAACCAGGTCCTGAAGATTTAGTGACCCTTTGGAAAAAGGCTCCATGGAAGTTAAAGGCAATTTGACATGGACCAATACCTGCCTCCTTCAGTGTAGCTGTCTTTAGGACTAGTTTCAGCCTCAAGGAAAGAGAAGCTTGCCATGCTGTATAGCAGTGATCTGTGAAGTCAGATCTGCAGGATTCTATCTCTCTTGCTGGGGTGGATATCAGATTTCCCCTTGAAGGCAAGCTGGAACGCAAGTCAACCAGCAGTATTAAAAGTTTAAGACTAAGTGAAAGGATTTTCAAAGATACAAATGACAGCTAGACGCTTCATTCCCTTTAACTGACCTGAATACCCTATCTTCCTTTGAAGATCTTGCTGACCCAGGCTAGACTCCCAGATTTACATCAGGAGTCTCCAGAAGTACTTTTGTTTTCAGAATGCCAGCCCCTGAAACATCTCTCCACGTAATCCAGGTTTCATGCTTCTGAACACAAGCTATTTAACTATACTGTATGCTTTTTATAGAGACCTAAAGTTATGCACCCAGATTTGTAAGCATTCTTTCCCTCAGTCCAGGTAGAGAGGCTACTCATCATAAAGACAACTTCTTTTGCTGGTGATTCTTTGTCTCTGGACCCAGCCAAAACCATTGAATGCTGATAGTTAAACTGCAGTAATGCCTGGCTTAAATTGCTTGGGTTTGACATACTTGTAAGTTCTTCAGTACTCTATGCTGTGCTTCCTTCTCATTCCTGGTATTATTTTATATCCTGACAGGTATAAGACTGAAGTTCAGCCCATTTGCACCTCAGATATGGTAATGCCAGTAGATGGACGTTCCTGCTGCATTGTTTACAATTCAGAACTGGATTGGACTGTTTTTACTTACATGCAACTTGCTGCTCTCAGGCGGAGGATGGAACTGGGTGAACTGGACAGACTGTGAATTTACTGAAAGATGCAATACACCTCTTTGTTCTTACTGCCCTTGTTTGAAGTTTGATACCAGAAATCTCATTGGCTATAGAAGAGGGGAGGCAGAGGGAAGAGAGAGGGGTTAAACATGTTGTTTGAATTTTGTTTTTGAAAGATACTGAGGCCAGTTCCTCATGGACAGACCCCTGGCTTTCCAGAACTCTGGTTATGGGAGGTGCCGGTAGATGAGGAGGCACTTAACTATCACAGATGTTGCCATGGAAGGTGTGAAGAAAGACACATTGCTATGCAGATAATGGATACAGTATAAACGAGGTCTCCATGTTTTTCTGGGTTTAAAAGTGCCTAAAATGTGTCAAGAGAATCTAACAATCCCAAACAAAGACTTGACTGCTCTTTCTGCAGCTACCTGAACAGTATTGGGCAGGGGTGGTTGATAATTCCTGCTACACATCTACTTGCGTCTCCTCTCTCCTGCTGCTTGTACTGGAGACTGTGTAAGGGGTGAGAGGAGGAAGGAAAGAGGAATACTGAACTTACATGTCATCTCATTTGGTGATGCTTTGGAGAACTGGTTGACCCAAGCCACAATGTGGGACAGGATTTTTGTGGATTTAAACATTCGAGAAGGAAAAGTTGCGATAAGGAATGTGTACAGCCTCTTCCCCATTGATAAGGAGGAGGCGTGATCCCAGCTCTATTTAAAGCCTTACAAATGCGTTTAAAATCAATCAGCTCCTAGAACCTTTATGTGCTGAGCTGTCTCAGCTGTTTTCATGCCCTTTGCACTACCAGTGATTGTGAATAGACATCATTACTTTTTTCTTCTCCTTCCTCATTCTCTCCCTCCCCCTGCCTTATTTTGACACAGAGTTGGGGGTTTACGTTGCGTTTCTGAATTAGGTGCCACCTTCTACTGCAAATAGTCTCAAAATCACAGCTGTTTCTTTCTGAAGGAGAAGCAGCGGTGTGACTCCCCCACCTCCATTTCTCCATCTGGTTGCAAAACCCCATCTCCCGTCCTTCATCCGGGTTCCAAATGCCCAATAGCGAAGTGCCCACTGAGACACCCTCTGCCAAGACAGGTAGAGATTAGGGTTAGAAGGTTCTAGGCTCGTCCTGTTTCTTTCACACCCACTCGTTGCTACGCAGGAAAAGGGGAAGCCTGGCCCTGGGAACCAGAGGGTGCAGAAGCTCCTTTCTTATATACATATTTACAGCAATACCCAACACCCCATTGCAAAGTGCTGTGACATGAGTGAGATGAGACCATGGGGTGGGACAGAATGAGGAGGGAGGAAACAAGATCTCTTTGAAGAAACCCGGACCGTGCTATCTCTTGGACAGCGATATCCCTGCCCTTGTAAATCCTGTTGTTGGACTAGCCCATCTACTGCCTCGAACTGTGCAGACAAGACCCCTTCATAATGTCCACTACTGACCTTCTGCTCTGACCGCATAGGACCATTTTGAAGACGACCTTCAGAAATCAATAATATGGGTTTTAGTTTGTCTGTTTGTAGTTTATTTTGAAGACTAGTATTTCAGTAATTTAAAAAGAAAAAATCAGAAGCACTGAACTTTCTACGTTTTATAACATTATTTTGTATATAATGTATATTTATAATCAAAACAGAAGTGTAAATATGTTTATTACTTCTCATGTAATGTTTTTAATGTGATGACAAAGTTTGAATTTTATTTTTTTTTTCAAGCAATGAAAATACTTTCCTGCTACTACAAAGTTTCTTGTGGTTTGTCCTTTTACACCTCAGGTTCCATGGTTCTGTGACAGTCAAGCTTACTTGAAGCCCCTGAAGTTAAGCTTGTCTGCCTGGTCCCTGCAGCCAGCCCTACAGTCACACTTTACACACCAACTGCTGTCAGCTGCTCTATATAAAACAGTTATACTGCTAACTGATGTCAACAGAGTTGTTCAGCTGAGTGGCATTCATCTGACAGTAAAGTTGTGCATATTTATATTGTGATATATAACGTTTATATATACACATTCTCTTGCTATGGAGTGGGACTGGACTGTCAGGAAAGTTATTTTTATTAATACCTCACTCTTCCTCTTCCATGACAACTTGTGACATGGAAGATGCGGATAGATAGAACACCATTTCAAAGTGGCTTAATAAAGGTGCATGGCCAACTTGGGGTTCACTTACAGAACAAGATATGATTACTATTTCTTTAAATATTTCTTTAAATACTTTAAGATCAATCCAGATCTTGCCCTCAGGTTACTCTTGCACAGCATCTGCATCCACACCTGCAAGATGGTGTCCTTGTTTGTTTGATGGTGATGGGTAAGATCTGTCTTTCACTTGTGGGATTAGAGGGAGTTTCAGGCTTTCTCCTCCCAAGTTCCCTCTGCTACACCAGCAGCTGTGTCCTCCCAGGGCATCACAAAGTCGTTATCCTCCACAGCTCTTTTGGAGGACGTTGCCACAAAACAAGTGTAAAAGCACACTTGTATAAAACACCCCCAGCAGGTTTAGTAGCCTTTGAAGCACATATGTTTATGGACAATTAAATCTCTGACTGCATCAGCTAGGTGCGATATGGCCAACATCTGAACACACAAAAGCAAAACCTATAAGAACAGGAAACCAGTGCTGCTCTATTTTAAAACCGGACTTTTTTGTTGCTGCTGTTGTTGACAAAATGCCAAAAAAGCATCTTAGTGGTTGGTGCCTTTCCTATCTTTCCCCAAAACAAGACCTAACCAGAATTTGCTAGTTTTTAAAAGAACAAAAACCCCAAACCCCCACTGGTGTTAGAAAAGCACCATAACAAATTGTTTTAATTTTTTCCTTAAAATACTGCGAATAATGGCTTATAAGGGTCCCTCTCGGTGCATTATCAAGGTTACATAAATACTATTTACTTGAGATGGTTTTGTTTCTCCCTCGATTCTTTTCTTAGAGAAATTAACTTTCAAATCCCAGCCAATTTTTCCCTGGCTACCATAAAAATAAATTTAAGATGAAACTCAGAAATAAAAAACCACCTCCCCCTCCCCAAACATTCACCCTGTAGAGCAAATTATGAAAAACAAGCCATTGACAAAAAGCTGAGCAGATGCTCCCTGCTTGCAGTCCTTCCTCGGCAATGTGAAATAAACCCAACAGATGCCTCTCTTAATTGAGCACATGGATTACATACACACATGCACTCTGTCCTGCTTAAAACAAAACACACACAAAAATCAAACAGGAAAATAGCCAGAGAACTCTTCCCAAAGCCGAGGCAAGCAGGCATGCT